GATATTTTTTTTTGGGGGCTCGGTCGTTGATTGGCTGAGCGGCTGAAGGAGTGTCGCCTCCTGTTGGTTCTTTGCCGCCAGGGGCGGGACGGCGAGACGGAGCGCAGTTGTGATTGGCTGCGAAGAGAGCGGGGGGCGGAAGCGTCCCTGCGCGGCCGAAGGAGGAAGGGTAGCTTGGCGCCTTGGTCTCGTGCCACCTAAGCTACGTTTGAAGTTTGAGGGGGCAAAACAAGCACGCAGCCCCAGTCTCTGTGCCTCTGTGCGAGCAGTGCCATGGGCAGATGAGGCTGAGCAACAGCTTTCCAGGCTAGCTCTGGCTGCGGCGCCTCTCCTGCGTCCATGCGGAACCCCCGGCAGCGTGTCCCTCTCCGTAGCCGCCTGGCAAAGTCACGGGCGTCAGGAGGCTGAAAAGTTGCGAAGGGATCAGCTTCTCGGCCGCCTCCCCACCGTGACGGCACGCAGAGCTGTGCCTTCCCCGTTGCGGCCTGCTGTTCACGCTTCCCTCCGTGCCGTACCTTGTGCCATCCCCTTAGAATCCTCCCTGGCGGGGTTGCCCCGCGTGCTGCACTACCCCGTTTCAAACGCTTTGGCCCAGGGTCAGAGACCTGGACTAGACAACCTGAAGAACCCGACCTGCAAGCTGAGAGAGACCCGGTGCTGCCGCCTGTAGCGTTCTGCGTGAATTCACGTAATTAGCCTCTGTAAAAATTAGCGGTACCAGAACGCCTCCACAGCAGTAGCTCCAACAGTTAAAAGCAGGCACTGTACCGGTACAAGCTAATCCCTGCCCTCGGTCTGCAGAAATAAGAGATAACGGAGCTCCCCTCATCGCAGCAGTGCCCTGAAGGTTGTCTGGGGCAGTTCATGCCGAAAGCAGCTTTGGTTTTGTTTATTTTGGTGCTTTGTCTGAGAGTGGAGATGACCAGGGTTGCTCTTTTTCTAATGTTTTTCTTGGATCCAGAAACACCAGGAGACAAAATCCACTCCAGCAGGGAGGAGCTGCCCGGTCCGATGTCTCTCTCTGCACCCTACCCAGGGCAGACTGGCCTAGGGAAGCCTGGAAGGCAGAAGTAACAGTAACGCAGAACTGAAAGCGCAAGTCGAAACAGGAAACTGGTTTTTGAGCGTCTGAAGTGTCTGGTTCTGCCATGTAATGCATACTCCAACCCTCCCCCTCCCATCCAGCCCCATCCCTCAGCCAGTTTTTCAAAAGCTTTCATCCATGTAATTTACAGTGTCTTAACCTCAAAAGAGTAAAACATTAGCTGCCATCACATCATGTACCTTGCTCCTTTCTTGCTGTAACCCATCCTACGCCCATTGTCTGCAGCTGCGAGCTCACTGCCCCAGGGACCATCTCTGCCTGTTAGGTTTGGAAGAAACCTGCCAGGAGGGGATCCCACCGTTTGACAACGCACCTCAAGACCTGCCATACGCGACAGTACAACCAATCCCTGTTTATGCTTGGTGTAACTTTCTTGAGGAACAGATGAAGGACTGGGCTTGCTGCCATAAGTTTGCTTGAAAAGACAGTAGTATGTATTTGAATTACTGTGTAATACAGTGTTAAAACGTTTCAAGCCCAGTGTTAGCCAGGAATTCCAGAAATATTTTTATGCCACATTGAAGAAGCAGATGAAATTGAATATAAACATTTGCTTTACCTTTCAGTTTAACACTTTAACCCTGCAAAATTGCAATAGACCTAAAGGCATTTTTACAGTTACAGGACGTGGAGATGTAAACAGTTACAAAAGACAACGGAGTCAGATACAGAATGTATTGGTAAGTTTGCAGGAAGTGCGGAGAAGCCGAGCAGTTTCAACAGAAAGTGCAATTCCAGCATTGGCGATGGCAAGGTGAAGCTGTTCCTCATAAGCAGCCGACAGCAAGGATCCAAAACCCAGTAGCTGCCTAAATAATAACTTGGCTCATAATAACCTGCTTATGGCAAGTGTCTGACATAGAGTCACTGCAGAAGGCAGGGTATTGTGGCACTGAGGACAGTGGGAGAGGTAAGAAAAAGGTGCAGCATCTCTAATGGAATCAGCTTGTTTGGGTTTTGCTTTCCTCCCCCCCAAGCAGGAGAGTTGTGTACACACACACAGTTTAAACTTATGCATGCCCTACAGCAGGCCCTAATTTCAAACAGGCAACAGCAGTCTTTAGGCACACAAGTACAGCTATCAGTAAGTAACTGTAACACTCAAATTACTTTTTACACTTATTTTAATTAGAATAACTCTTTATCACTATAGATACTAATTATTCCTGACAAAGAGGGAATCTTACTTTCCCTTACGATTTGGGAGCACTTCACTGCTTACAATTCCCTTCCTCCAAATTAAGCAAAAGTTAGAAGACACTTACCTCATGCCTCGCTTCAAAGAAGTTGGAAAATCATTTGCTTCCTGCCCAATGTCGTGATATTGATTTTCACTTGTTGGTCCCTCCCATCTTGCAGTCTGAACACCCACAAATAACCAGAAACTTTGAAACAAATCTGTGAAACTTGGTAAGGTTTTACAAGTAGATCTGGAAGAAAACTGGGGATATCATACGAATCATTCTTTGCTGTTTATTTCATCTGTTCCTTAATTGCCTTCCAGAATGACTCATGCTTTTACTTTCAAGCAAAAACAGGAAGCATCCCAGAGGGCAGCGCTTTTAAGCAGCATCCACAGGGAAATGGGTTGCTTACAGCACAGCTACATCACGATGAACAACTGTGATTT